TCAGGGTCCTGTGCAAGGTGCTGGGGATACAAATATAAGGAATGAAACAATCTCTACTCATAAGAAACTTGCATTCTAACGGACAAGTACATAGAAAAAATATATATACACCACAAAAAAAGAGTAATAACTACAAATATATACAAAGGGAGGGAAAAGTTATCAAAAGAATGGAGATAGAATTTCAACTACTACTAACCTATATGCTAACTCATCTTTATAAAATCTTTTAAAAATTCTCTCTCTCTTCCTCTTTCTCCCCAAGGCTTTCTCCAATAAAAATATAAGGGACACACAGGCTTTCACAAATAGTTTTCCACAACAGACATCATAACAAAGAATTGGTCAAAAGGTATGGAGAATACCAAGACTATTCTATTTGTTGATTACAAGAAAGTATTTGACTCAGTGGAGCAAGATGCAATCTTATAAGGCTTTCCTCAGAGGAAGGACCGTCTAATGCATATCTTAAGGTCATGCAAGATTTCTTGATAAATGCAAACAGATGGTTTTGCTCATCAATCCTCAATGTAGAGTGAGGAATTAAATATTAGCTATTTTCTAAAAATGGGAAATATAAAAATCACTGATGAGTCAATAATTAGTCAGCTGGGCTTTTTTTTTTTAATGGGGGGGTTGCATGTAGTATAAGAAATATTTCCATTAACAATGTAATCTTGGAGCAGGTAGGTGGCGCAGTGGATAGCGCTCTAGCCTTGGGCAGGAGGACCTGAGTTTAAATCCAGCCTCAGACACATGATACTTACTAGCTGTGTACCCTGGGCAAGTCACTTAACCCCAATTGCCTCACTTCAAAAAGCGAAACAAACAAAAAAATGCAGTCTTGAAGAGAAGGGCTCAGTGGAAATCCATGGAATATGTGAATTGTAGATTCCTGAAAGTAGGGAAGCATATCTTGTGCCACTTTGTTTCCTGCTAAGTACCTTGTATTCCAACAACATTCAATCATCAATCATCGTGTCCTTGTGTCACCCTTTTAATCCCATCACCCTAATGTGTTTTCAAGATCTCCAGCTTGCCAGTCAGTTTTGAAAAGAATGAATGTAATAAAGGAAGCAGCACCCCTCAATGATTAGTACAGGCATCCCTTGTTATATTGTGCTTCACTTTATTGCACTTTGCAGACATTGCATTTTTTTTAAAACAAATTGAAGACTCATAAATGGTCAAAGGATATGAACAGGCAGTTTTCAGATGAAGAAATTAAAGCTATCTATAGTCATAAAAAATGCTCTAAATCACTATTGATTAGAGAAATGTAAATTAAAGCAACTCTGAGGTACCACCATTGGCTAATATGACAAAAAAAGAACATGATAAATGTTGGAGAAGCTGTGGGAAAATTGCAACACTAATGCATTGTTGGTGGAGTTGTGAACTGATCTAGCCATTCTGGACAGCAATTTAGAACTATGCCCAAAGGACTATAAAACTGTGCATACCTTTTGACCCAACAATGGCACTTCTAGGTCTGTATCCCAAAGAGATCATAAAAATGGGAAAAGTACCTACATGCACAAAAATATTTATAGCAGCTCTTTTTGTAGTGGCCAAGAATTGGAAATTGAGAGCATGTCCATCAATTGAGGAATGGCTGAACAAGTTGTGTTGTATGAATGTGATGGAATACTATTGTGCTATAAGAAATGATTCACAGGCAGATTTCAGAAAAACCTGGAAAGACTTGTATGGTCTGAAGCTGAGTGAAGTGAGCAAGAACACTGTACACAGTAACAGCAATATTGTGTGATAACCAACTTTGATACTTAGCTCTTCTCAGCAATACAATGATCCAAGACAATTCCAAAAGATTCATGATGGAAAATGCTATCTACATCTAGAGAAAGAACTATGGAGTCTGAATGCAGATTGAAGCATACTATTTTCTCTCTTTTTTTCTTCCTTGTGGTTTTCCCCTTTTGTTCTGATTCTTCTTTCACAACATGACTAATGTGGAAATATGTTTAATAGGATTATACATGTTTTGCCTATATCAGATTGCTTGCCTGGAGAGGAGGAGGGGAAAGAGAAAAAAATTTGGAACTCAAAATCTTATAAAAATGAATGCTGAAAACTATCTTTACAAGTAATTGGAAAAAACAAAATACTATTAAGTGGGGAAAAAAATAAACAACAAAAAACCTCCCCAAAACAAAAACAAATGAAAGATTTGTGGTAATCTTGCATCAAGTAAGTATATTGGCACTATTTTCCTTTCTTTCTTTTTTTTTTTTTTTTTTTGCTTTTTTTGGCAAGGCAGTTGGAGTTAAGTGACTTGCCCAGGGTCACACAGCTAGTAAATATCAAGTGTCTGAGTCTGGATTTGAACGCAGGTCCTCCTGACTCCAGGGCCGGCGCTCTATCCACTGTGCCACCTAGCTGCCCCTTGGTGCTATTTTTCTATCACCATGTGCTCACATTATGTCTCTGTCACGTTTTGGTAATTCTTGCAATATTTCAAACTTTTTCATTATTATTATTATTATTATTATTATTATTATTATTATTATATATCTGCCATAGTGACCTGGAATCAGTGACCTTTGATATTACTACTGTAATTGTTTTGGGGTGCCACAAACCATACCCATATAAGATGGCAATTGATGAATGTTGTGTGTGTTCTGATGCTCCATAGACTAGGAATTTTTTGTAAAAGGAAGAATCAACTGACGTGGCAAACTTCAATGTTGCCTTATTTTAAGAAATTGCCCCAGCCACCCCGACCTTCAGCACCCACCACCCTGATCAGTCAGCTGCCAAAAACACTAAGGCAAGACCCTCCACTAGCAAAAAGATTACAACTCACTGAAGGCTTAGATAATGGTTGGCATTTTTTAACAATAAAGTAATTTTTGGGTCTACTATACCAAACTGTTGACTCATTTTTCACTATTTTCTTGCATCACTCTCATTTCTCTTCCCAATTTTTCCTCTACTTTTCTTACTTGATTTTCAAAATCCTTTTTGAGCTCTTCCATGGCCTGAGACCAATTCATGTTTTTCTTGGAGGCTCTGGATGTAAGAGCTTTGACTTTGTTGTCTTCTTCTGAGTGTGTGTTTTGATCTTCCTTGTCATCATGGTAAGTTCCTCTAGTCAGTTTTTTCCCCATTGTTTGCTCATTTTCCCAGCCTATTACTTGATTTTTTAACTTTGTTGAGGTAGGGCTCTGCTTCCAGGGTGGAGGGTGCATTGTCCCAAGCTTCAGGGGCTTTGTGCATCTGTTTTCACAGACACTTAGAGGGACCTGTAAGTTTTCAGTTCTTCCAAGGTGGTATGATCTAAGGGGAGGTGTTTACTCTTCTCTCTGCCGGTGCTCTGGTTTGTGAACAACCACAAGCACTCTTTTCTGCTCTGGAACTGTAAGGAGGGTCCTCCCCCTCCCCTGCTGCAAGCTCTGCCATGCTAATGCTCCTCCTTGCCCTGGGACTGCCACCCAGGACTGCAACCCAGATCCAAGTATGAGCAAAGCAACAGTCCTGCCTCAGTTCTAGCAAAAAGACCCCTGTAATCTCCTTCTGACCAGTCGACGGACTTCTTTACTGTCGGTGGGCTGAGAGCTCTGGAAGCAGCCACTGCCACTGCTGATTCAGTCACTCTGAGGCCTGCTCCTGGTTTGCTGGGGTCAGGACTATGCTGGCGTGGCCTGTGCTGGACTCTGCACTCCTCTCTCACCAACAGACCTTTCCTGCTGACCTTCTAGTTGTCTTTGGCATCTGTGGGCTGAGAAGTCTGGAAACCGCCGCTGCTGCCAGTGATTCAGCCATTTCGATGCCTGCTCCAAGTTTGCTGGGGCCCGCTCTGTGCTCCTCCCTCACCCTGGTGCAACAGATCTTTCCTGTCGATCTTCCAGGTTGTCCTGGGCTAGAAATTTGTTTCATTCTGTCTTTTTTGGGCTCTGCTTCTCTAGAATTTGTTTTGAATCATTTTTTAAAGGCATTTGGAGAGAACTCAGGTAAGTTCCTGCCTTTACTCTGCCATCTTGGCTCCATCTCTCAATAAAGTATTTTTTAATTAAAGTAGTTCATTGTGTTTTTATAGACATAATATTATTTCACACTTAATAGACTACAGAATTATGTAAACATAACTTTTATGCACAGGGAAACAAAAAAATTTGTACAATTTGATTTATTGCTGTATATGCTTTATTGTGGTGGTCTGAAACCAAAACATCTCTGAGGTATCCCTGTGTTATGATACTGGGGTGGTTGGTGAGAAAAATAAATAAATAAATAAATAAATAAATGGTACAGTGAGGAAAGAAATGCTGTGCCTTACAATTCCCAGGTTCCACTTTCTCTTTGTTTGCTAACATTGGAAACTTCCTTTTCCCACACTCTTTTTGCAAAGGAAAATAATTCTTGAATGAGCTCTCTTTGTAAATGAATTATTTTGGTTCACTTTACTTTTCAACTCTTTTGGATTCACTGGCCAATAATTTCTATTTTATTAAAAAAAGAATCTCCACTATTCTTGGATCAATTTCTTTGCATAAAGAATTCAATAATAGCTACATAGCTGGGCACCAGGTAGCTTTCAAGGCTGATGGAATCACAGATCTTCTGGAGAATTCAATTCAATTCAACAAACATTTATTAAGTATCAATCTACCACATGCAAGGCACTGTACTAGAAGCTGCAAATACAAAGACAAAAATGATACTGTACCTTTCCTAAAAGAACCTCCATTCTACTCAGGCAAAAAGCACCATGATAAACAACAAAAGTAATAAAAACTGATTTCCTACAGTGTATAATCACCACTCTAGTGAATACTTTGGCCCACTTTCCCAGAGTCAGACTGCTCTTGCCCCTCTTCAGGTTTTCAGAGGTACTTGAGGAGTCAGTGGGTATCTCTTTTTTACTGGGTTTGAGCCCACCAGCTGTGTTCCCCCATTGTTAGATGGTAGTAACTAGTATTCCCATTCTGTTTAACCACTTACCTTCAATTAACTTTTTATAAAGAGATACTTACTTCAAAGATGTAGCAATAACAGAAGTACAAATGCTTTGCCTCAACACCTGGGGACAAGGAGGGAGCACACTCATCCCCACCCCTCTGTATCTCCAGAGGAGAGTGAGCTCAAACCGAGCTTAATTCTGCATAACATTTGTCCCAAGTTCACATCCAGATGCCGTATAACTACTGCATGAGTCCCAGTCTCAGCTACAATCGGGCTGACTCCTGAAGGTTACTCCTTTCTTCTCTAGGTACCAATGCTGGCCTGACTTCTAGTCAGATGGATGTTCGCCTCACCTGAAACACACAAGATTGGACATTTCAGTCCTTTTGCCTAGAAAGGAAAAGAACAAAGGCAGAGGCCACACAGCCCCTGAGGAAAAGGCCTTGCTTCTCCTCTTACAATATTGTGTCTCACCAGACCCCATCAGTGAAGAAGTCACACCACAGAACACAGCCAACCCTAGGAGGAGATCACTTTGAAGCCAACTCAAGCCTTTGTGAAGGCATCCTCAGCTCTGATTTCAATCAATTGAAAAGGCCTCTTCTCCATGTGCTCAGCAGACAGAACCTATTATGAACTGTATGTCTCCAAGGCACTTCTTCCATTCCACACCTTCATAACTTTCCCAGAAGCAGGGGCTCTGCCTCCAACTGGCCTCACGGGAAGTATGCATCAGTTTAGCAGCAAGATGAATCCCATGCTTGAGGCAGGACCTCTTACACCTTCTGGGCTACAGCTCATACTCCCAGGCTACAGATAAACTTCTTTCTCTTAAAGGCTAAATGCAAATTACCTTCTTTGAAATTCAGAGTCCACACACACTTCAAGAAAAGCCTTCACTGAATAACTTCCATAAACATCAGACTTAGATATTGGAGTTCTTTATGATTCTCTAGGCAAAAATCTTTGGACTCACTGACTGGGACCTAGTGCTAATCAGAATATAACTTAAACACACACACACCCCATAAAGAAAAACTAGAAGCAACTATTAACTAACATTTATTAAGCACCTACCATGTGCCAGGAACTGTGCTAGGCAGTCTTCCAGCCTACAGAGCTCACTGGTAGCAAATTGAGAGCTCATACCCAGGTCTCATTGACTCCTACGCTAGTGTTTTTCACTACACCACAGCTGGCTGCTTTAGCCAGGTGTCAGAGGGAAATATCTGTACTCTCCCTGTCAACACTTCTTGCTAGATCCAAACTAAAATCCCCCATGGGCATGATCCAGTAACAGAAACACAAATCAGGAGCATAAGTACAAATCATAAACTACTGTACACATACATGTTAGATGTAAGAGATGATGTTATATAGTAAACCTACTAAGTCTACAATAGTCACTTGATGTATCAGAGCCAAAAGAGATTTTAGTGATTTTGTGGGGAAAACGGCATAATTCTGTGTTCCCTCAAAACACCAACAGAGGGCAATATTAGAAAATAGACAAATTAAGTACAATACAGCTGTACAGTTATTTTCTACTTTACCTAAAAAACCATAAGTAAAAATGTGAACATGTAGACAGATAAATAAGTATAATTATGAGTAGTATTATAAGAACATTGTTTGCTCCATAAGGTTTTGGGGACCTTTATTATGCAAAAGGGCTTATATCCTACAATAGTAAAATTAGAACTTTTTAGGAATACACATTTCATTATCCACATCTATTGCTTATTTCAAAACAAGGTACATTGGTTTTCTTGCTTATGGGAGACTCACAATGCAGAACCTATATTTACAGAAATAATTTTTTTTTAAACCCAACACCTATAGAAGATATAGGTCAAATCAACTGTGACATCACCTTTAATGCACTAATAGGTCCACCTAGGCTATTACGTTTAAAAAAAAAAAAACCATCACAGGCTTTTTAGAGTAGGAATGAAAGGCTTGCCTATGCACCTGGTCTGTAACTTTTAGCTCATCAGCTAAGGCTTTAAAAAAGGTCATGTACTTGAACTAAAACTATTGCTATAGCTGCAGGGCACTTGCTCTCCCATAGGAACCTGGCCGTAAAGCGAGGGTTCTTGACCTGGGATCGAGAGATCCACCAAGTGGTCTGTGATAAGGGGGTCTGTAAACTGGGTAAGAAAAAAAAAATTACATCTTTATTTTCATTAATAGCTAGCCGAAATTTAGAATCTTCTTCAATTATTTAAAAACATTATTCTAAAGAAGAGTCTACATGCTTTAAAAAAAAACTGCCAAAGGGGTACATGATATTAAAAAATTAAGAACCCCTGCCCTAATATCATAGTATTATTATTTTATGACTAATTCTGGATATTAATGTATAATTAAAAGCATTTTAATGAATCAATTAACAAGCATTTATTAAACATCCTACACTATGCTCAGCACTGGGGATACAAAAAAGTCCCTGCCCTCAAGGATCTTACATTCTAACAGGAGAGACAGCATGCACATATTTAGGGATATAAAAACCAGACAGAAGATCATCTTTGAAGGGGAAGGCACTAGCAGCTAGGGAGACCAGGAAAGGCATGCACAGGGTTCTACTTAAGCTGCGTTTTGAAGGAAACTAGGTATTCCAAAAGGCAGAGGCGAGGAAGGAGTGAATTGCAGGTATGGGAACAGCCAATGAAAAGGCAGAGATGGGAGATAGAGTGTTGTGTACGAAGAATGACAAGAAGGCCAGTTTGGTTGGACTATAGAGTGAATGGCAGCAAATAATAGAAAGGTAGGATGCAGTCAGGTTGTGGGAGCCACTGGAGTTAATTGAGTAGGAAGTAACACATTGTAAGACCTTTTCTTTAGAGAAATCAATGTGGTAGCTTCATGTAGAAGACAAATTGGACTGCTGAGATGCTTGAGACGGGAGACCAATTAGGTTCCTACAACAATCCAGGTGACAGGTGATGAAGTTCTGTGCTATGATGGAGGCTGTGTGGGCGGAGAGAAGGGGACATATGTGAGATGTTATGGAGGCAAAAATGGCAAGAAGTGGCAAGTGATTACATACGTGGGGTGAGGGAGCCAAGGATGACATCCAGGTTCCAAACCTGAGTGACTGGAAGGAGAGTGGAGTCTTCAACAGAAATATGAGAGTTCAGGAAGAGGGATGAGTTTGGGGATAAAGTTAATGAGTTTTGTTTTAGACACGTTGAGTCTGAGATGCCCATTAGATATCCAGTCGGCAAGATAGGACTGGAGCGCAAGAGAGACCAAGGCTGCATATGTGTGCGTGTGTGTGTGTGCGCGCGCGTGTGCTTGAGTGCGCACACATATATGAATGTATGAATGAGAGACTCCACAGGAGCTGATACAGTGACCGAGTCAAAGAGTACAGAGAAAGAAAAGAAGTGAGTCTAGGCCAGAACCCGTGAGTACTTTCACAGTTAGAGGTGTGATACAGATGTTAAGTCATCAAAAAGACTGAGAAGGAACAGCCAGACAGTGAAGTGTCATGAAAATCCACAGAGGAGAGACTATGCAGGGGAGAGTGGTCAGCTGTAACAAATACTTCAGAGAAGTCAATAGGCATGAAATTGGGGGAGAAGCATTGTTATTTTAACACTATTTCACCATTTCCCCCAAGGAACATCTTGCTATAGATGTCAATCAGAAAATGATTTACTTCTTAATTTTTAGTTAAAAATTTCAGGAAAGCACCTATTCCCTAAAAGGAGGTGACTGTGTTCACTGACATGCATGTGTATGTATGTACGTACACACATCTATAGATACATAGATACACACACACACCCACAAAAAGGAGAGAAGAGAGGGAGGAGAGTAAGAGAGAGAGCACACACTAACTAGCCGGTGATTTTGCAGACGGTCACGTAACTTCTCCTGAGCCTCCATATGCTTATCTATAAAATGAGAGGTTAGTCTAGGTATCTTCCATCACCAGAAAATTCAGATCTGATGGTAGTCCCTATAGACAAATTCATAATGTCAACTTTGACAACCTTCAAAATCCATTGTCCTCCTAAAGCCAAACCTAAATTCATTGCTATTTCCTTCTAAACCCTATATTTGGTCTATACACACTGCTGCTACTACAGCTTTCAAATGCCACTACACAGTATAAAAACTTACTCCCCACTAAAAGATGGGGGGTGGGGGTGGGGAGAGTCTGACAGAAGAAAGGTCAGAATTATATGTCATTGCTTTCTGAGAAAATGTCTTGGCCAAAGGACCTGTCTACCCTTGACTCACTTGTGTGGCTAGAATTCATTTTGTTTTCTTCTAAGAAAGGTTTAACAAGCCACAAGGATGGATGAAGTGTCATGAAGAGAGATTTGTACAAAAGAAAACAAACAAGAATAAAATGTGCCCAAAGGGTTGATATCTATTTGTTTTAATTTTAAAATTTACCCTACTGCACAAAACACCATATTAGATGAGAGATACAATTACATTTTAAAGTTTCAAAAATCTTTGATTTCATCCTTGTGGATACTTCAAGGAAATTCTCTCTGCAATGAAAAATGAAAACTCACCATACAAATTTCTACTCAGATGCCTCCTGATGGTACAATGATGGCACGCGTACATTAAGATTATGTCAGCAAAGCACAGCCTCTAGAAACATCTACCAAGCTGAAAAGGATTTAGGCAGGAGTCTAACAAAAGTCTCTGTACTCTAATGATACGGTCTCCAGAGAGGTTTATCACCACAATGTCCTGATTTTGGGAAGGGGCCACAGAAACTCATCAAATCTTTGACTAAGGGTGTACAATTTACATCTAAAAATAGTAAAAAAAATTTAAATTTGGACTTATTTCAAAGTTTTACCTGTAAAGTCAAAAGTATGTTATGCCTATTTCTATAAAATGGATGAATTTTAAGCTAACTTAAACACATACATATTTTTATTTAGCATGAAACCTTTCTTCTCTATAACCTGGTCTCCCCTGGCCATTCCTCTAAACAAAATAATTGCAGAATTTAAACTCCTTCACTATTTTGACCCAGTTCCCCCTTGATGTTATATAAACAGTTCGTGTTACCATGGCAACCACTCAGGGAAAAAATTACTTTCTGGGCAGTGATATACAAAGTGTACCATTTAAAATGTGTTTATTTTTCCTCTCTGGAACTGGGACACAACATTTAATTTTATGGAATTTCCTCTTGCAGATGGTCCCTTGAGAAAAGGCCTAACTGGTCATTTTGCACTACATTCAAATATTTTATCATCTACTTTTGGTTCACTGCAGTGTTGGTCCTTCATATACAAAGTTAAAGTTTCTAACAGACCATTTCTTCAAAGAGTATAATCTTATAACTGTACCTAACACTACACAGACATTG